CGGTTTCAATCGTTTCCTATTGAGTCTATGGGGCCAAATCGAGCTGTAATATGCCAAAAAAAAGCTCCTGTAGTTATCCAACGACAGGCGTTTTGCTTATTGAGACAAAATGCTCAGATGTGAACAGGGCCATAGAAATGAATAGGATTTATTTTTGGGCAGATATTTGGAGCGTTTTTTATGGCAGAAAAAGCGCTAGAAAACACTCACTGTGAACCAGGACTAAATACAGGTGAAACTCGAATAATTAGAATATTGTGCAAAAGTAATTGCAGTAAGTGCTGCAAAAGGGGCCCAAACCAAGTACTGAGTACATATGCATGCTGGTACTTTTCAGAGGTCCGATATTGTTCTATGTACAATCCTTGTTTTATTGATTGCATGTAATAATCTACTTTTTTGAGGTTGTGGATTTGGGGTTCTTGGGGTTTTCATGAGCTGTAAGCCATAATCATCACAATTATGGCAAATCACGGCTTTAATTATCTTGCTTTGCATGTAATGAGTCTCTCTCATATATTAGTTTCACCTTTTAAGTTGCATTAGTGAAATAAATGAACTTTGCACGATATTCTAATTATTCGAGTTTCACCTGTATACCATTTAATATATAAACATTCTGTTATAGCTGTTGTAAATAAATCTGTCGAAAATTCAGATCTGTCCTGTGCATAGTTGTGGTATCTCAAATAGTCTTTTTATCCCTCCAAATTCTTATCTGGGAAGACAACTAGTGTCTATACTTTGGAGATTAAGACACTGGAAGTGGTTTAGTAGTTTAGCAAAAGAAAACTGTACAGGGCTGACACCACTTTGTCCACAAAAATGCTGTGTGCTGTTAGCCCATCATAGGTAATTAAACTGAATGTTTCATTATAAATAGAGAACCACACAGAAATGTGCATGTATTGCAGAGATGAAGTGCATACATTTTATTTTTAAATGAATTCTGCCTTGACATGCGCTTCTACGGTAAGCACTATTGTTGGTTGAGCCACACAAAGATGAACTGACTGACATAGACAGAGGTAAAGCACAGTTATAAAAAAAATAATAATAAAATGCTTATTCCCTATGCATTCCTCATCAAATTTGGCGCTACAAGAAGAGACCTCAGAACAACGGAAAATTGTATACTTACCTATCGGTGATTTTCCTTTCCTGATGCCAGTACATGGCAGCATACACTGGGTATGGCTCCGCCCCCAGCCCAATCACAGGACCAGTTATAATATAAATTAAGCCCGCCTCCCAAGGCCACCATTCTCGTAACAAGTACTTAATGCGGAAGCCATGGGAGGGTCCTGTATGCTGCCATGTACTGGCATCAGGAAAGGAAAATTACCGATAGGTAAGTATACAATTTTCCGTTTTCCTGATACCGTAAATGGCAGCATACAATGGGATATAGCGATCACACAAACAGGGAGGGTAATTCTGAGATAAAAAAATTATTTGTACCACATTCAGAACCAACTTCCCCATGGACCATACTCCTGGATAGACCCTGCAATGGGACAGGAACATATGGCAGGTTACTGCCTTCCAGAACAACCCTGGAGGTACATCACTGAATTCTATCCGTAGGCATGACAGTCTGCGGAAGAGCGAACCCAGAGATTAATCTGTGGCTCCATCTGCTTGACCAGGCACAATGCATGTGACCTAGTGCACGCAGAGTGCTACTTACCAAAAAGTGCTACTTTTTTAAGAAAAAAAGGTAACCTCCATGCTCTTCCCCAGCATAGCAGCCACATTGCTGGCATGAGCTGAAATAAAAACTTTATCCTGGAATACTGGCAACATTGATGTACTATTTAGATGGATAGATCTTCCAACCTTCGGAAGATGCTGGGAAAGAGAGATTTAGGACTACCTTGCCTGTGAAATAGTAGCAAGAAGGTGGTTGCAGCACTGCAAAGCCATAGGAAACAGTAGCACATGTATTTCTAAAACAAACTCATTGAAAGAAAATGGAGTGGATCCTACTTGTCAGCTTGTCCTTGCATGTGATCATCCCAGTACAACCATAGTTTGTGATGATGCAGCTGAGTCACGGTTCTTCTCTGGAGTCACAGGGCCAGAAGGCTAAGCAAGTGTTCAACCCGCCGCCATGATGGAGGAAGCATCCAAACACGAAGAGACCCCAAGAGACCATTTCCTGCACCCCAACTCCAAGGCTATGGGGGAGGCTTCCCTATTAAGATTGCATTCAGCCATCTGAACAAAGGGAACTTCGCAACAGGAGAGGCTGAACCTGTGCGGCAGGCCAGAAGAAACTTGCAAGGTGAGGGTAAAAACTCAAACATATTCTTAGTATAACCGGCTTGAGCAGTGAGGACAGAAAAAAGAATGGTGGCCTTGGGAGGCGGGCTTTAATTTATATTATAACTGGTCCTGTGATTGGGCTGGGGGCGGAGCCATACCCATTGTATGCTGCCATGTACGGTGTCAGGAAAATCCTGTTTCCAGCAGCATGGCTTGGCTGTGTATTTGAATCCATGTTTGCGCTTAATATAATGTACTTTGTTACCACTAGAGGGAGCTACTTGCAGACTAAAGATTTGATCTGCACTGAACTGAATGAGCAGATGATTCAGAGCACAGAAGGCTGCAGGGACATTGCTGCAAAGTGAGATTCTCTTTAAACAAGGTAACCCATCCTATTGTCATTTCTTCTGAGGCTGCTGAGACACGTTCAGATGTATAGTTCAATTATGTAAAGTGCAGTTATACTCAAAGTGATTGTGTCACTTAAAAGCCTGGATACTTGGATACACTGCTGAGAGGACATTTTCTTTAATATCTCCATCCTATATATAGTATATTGTATATAACAAAAGCAATTTGCACTTCCCCAGATATTTACTGCAAAATATAACCATAGAAGTTAGCAATTAGCAAAGTGATATCACATAAGTGAGCTTTTTTATGTAACAGTGAAATAGTAAAGCCCAAAGTGAACATTTTCACTTTAGAAGAGCTTTATTCCCCTTTCAACACTACATTTCGATTAATGCGCAGGGCAAATAAATCTTTTTGTGTAAAATGATATTACAACATTTACATGGGATCATTTTGGGTTGGCGAGGGCACAAATTAGCAAGATGACCCATACCAATACCTAGGGGTCTATTCACAAAGCTGCCGAAGGATCTGGCCGTAGCTTCGGCCGATCCTTCGGCTAGCTTCGGCCCCAGGACCCCTTTGGTTCAGGAGAACCTAGGGGGTGCTGTACGGGCTATTCACAATAGCCCGTACAGCTCCCGATCACGGCCGAGCGGCTCAGTCGAGCCGATCGCATATGCCTCGGCTCGGCTGAGCTGTGCTGAAAGCCAAAGCTGGCTGCTTTGTACGGCTGAAATCAGCCGTACCAGCCTGAAGTGAATAGCCGAACAGTGTTCGGCTCACTTCACTTCTGATCGGTCATTCACTCGGCTGCCCTCGGCAGCTTTGTGAATAGACCCCATAGTGTCATAGCCCAGAGGGAGAGATCATGTGACAATGCTTGGGCCTAGAAGTTTACTGTTGGGACCCATTCACACCATGTCCGGACCAGATCTGGATGCATTATTGCAAATGCGGTCAGGTGTGTTTTTGATGCATTCCGGTGCTTTTATTTGTCTCAATTGACATTCTAGTGCCTTCCACTGCGAATACATTAGTTTACATGTCTTTTGGTGCTTTCCAGACCAGAGGAAAAAGTGCATGCAGTATTTTTTTTTATAATGTTCTGAAACAGAAGGCAGTGGTGTGAACTAGTCTCACTTTTTTCCCATAGGAATTAATGGGTATGTGTTTATGGACCAAACAAAAAAGGTTCTGGTCTGGATCTGCTCCGAACATGGTGTTAATGGGCCTTTAAGCCTGAGTACTGCTCATGGGAGGAGGTTTCTACAAGTTTAATACCTTTGAATAAAAGTTTTATTTTTATCACACTTTTTAATATGTTTCTTTGCGGCTTAACAAAATAGGAGTCTTTAAATGGTGCATATATTGGGGGAAATGGGTGTGGTTACGGGGGCGTGGCCACTAAAGGGTGTGGCCACTGAGGGGCGCTGTAAAGCTTTCTCGCACAGGGCGCCTAAAGGCCTAAGGCCGGCCCTGGTTCCATGCTCTCTTAGGGCCCGTTCACTCTGTGTGCGATTAATGCAAAGTACCGTACAGCGCACCTCCCATTTGATTACGGTGCAGGAGGTACATTGCATGCCATCATTGCATACTAACACACGGTACAGCAAATACCCTGCGTTGCAGTGCAATAAAAAAAAAAGTGTGCAGTATTTGTCAGTCGCACTGCCACGCACAGTATTTACGGTTCCGCGTGTAGCAGTGCGGCAGATCATACTGTGAGCGGAAGGTTCATTTGGGTGACATTCAAATGAAGAGATAATGTGAACAGGCCCTTATAGCTGGAAGTATTGAGTATTTTGCACTGGCAGGCAGAGATGGAAGAGCAGCGAGGGAACACTGGAGAGGTGATAATAAAGTGCTCAGGGTGGGCTTTATATAGACTCTTTGCCCTACTTGAGAAAGGCGACAATATTTCTACAAGACTACAAATTATATTCCCACATAAAAAAACACCTGTACAGTCATGTGTATATCAGCGCTGTAACAGGACAATCTACAGTGTCTAAATCCCTTTAGGCGTGGGTAAATCTTATAAGGTACCTTACCAAAACTGACACTCAACGGATGCCTGTAACTGTATTTGTAGCTCACTACAGACATCTGGGGAAAGCAGTGATTTGTCTGGGAAGATCTGTATTCATACATACAGTTTATGAAACACCCTCAGGCTGCCATATTGCATGGGAGTAAGATTTGATTTTCTTTTTAAATAAAATCACAATGGCTGCAGACTCAAATGTAAAGAAACATTTTAATGATATACATTTCCAAAATGGCTTGTATGACAATTGTATATGCTATATATATATTTTGTGAAAGTGGAGTTCTTTCATACCTTCCTGTTTTGTTTTTGGAAGATGTCCCTCTTACTTTTCATACTGTTTAACTAACCGCTTAAGATATTTCTTTACACCTGCTTTGGCAGCATGGGTTACACCGACAACTTTGATCCTCTTTGGGTCCCAAACACAATCTTCCTCTAAGTTACTCTTAACCATACCACAAGATTCAGGTACCCAGGCTGTATCATAGCCATGATCATGCCATGTCTTTTGCAGACGGTGATTTTGTCTGTCAATTTTTATGACTTTACCTACATTAACCTTGATTCTCAAAACAACCTGGTCTTCTTTATCTTCTAAAGGATAACGTAGAGCTTTGTCTTCATCTCTACTAACGTAGACACCTTCTCCTAGCATGCCGTCTGATGACTGGCAGAATCCATTCTTGATGATGCTCACAGCTGCAGAAGATGTAGTGCCATGATACATGGTGTAGATCTTTCCATCAGTTGGCTTATCAATGCTTTGAAGAAATATTTCCTCGAACTTGGGTAAAGTCTCTTCTTCCCAAAAGTCTTTTCTGTAATTTGTGTCATACCCATAATTGTAGGCCATTGCTTCTGGAAGGAAAAATAAATAGAACAATGTTGTTTTAGGCAATTACATTGTCATCATGCGGGATATTGATACTCTAAATGACACCGGTTATTCTTGAATAAAATGTTCCATTTATTACGTCTTGTAAACATAATGAGGGGATTTATTAAAATTACAGCAGACAGAATATGGAGCAGATGCCCATGGCAACCAATCAGCTTATCTCTTCTGTTTGTTCAGTTAAGCTTTTCAAATGAAAGATAGAAGCTGATTGGTTGTCATGGGCAGCTGCTCCAGAATCTTTTTGCTCCAGTTTTGATAAATTCCCCTAAATATATTATAATTAAGATATCCAGTCAGAATATGGATTAGAATCTTTTAAATATATTCCATTTAATGAAGAACTCAGGAATTAAAAAAAAAAAAAGTAAAACTTACCAGTGGGGCTCCCCCTGCACTGCAAGAGTTAAGGGATCTTTGTGTCTCGGGGGCTCACCTGATCCTTAGTCCCACAGTGGTAAGTGCTTACCTCTCTTCCTCTCTGCTCTGCTCTGTCCCTTGGCATCCTCATATCTAGTGCAAGTCAATGGACCTACATACGATGTGATGGTGTCAGCAGTCCTTAGACCGCTGGATCACAGGGAAGAAGAAGCTGCTGGGACAGGTCTAGCGTCCCAGAAGGACAGAGGAACAGATAAGTATATCTGCTTTATTTGAGTCCCCTAGACAATAAGAGAATTTAAAGAAGCTATCCTGGAAATCTAAAAATTAACCCTTGCAGTGGGGCTACCCCTGCACTCTCAGAGTTAAGTGCTTGTTTTGGTCTAGGGACTAAAATACAGAAAACATACCCAACTGACCTTGGTCCTGTGGTGGTGACCGCTCACCTCTTTCGCTCTCTGCTCTGGCAGTGGAATGTCCCTCAGCGTCCTCACATCTAATGCAGCTGAACTAGACGTGATGACCTCATGGGTCTTTAGACCCCCAGGGTCCAGGGGAGATGTGGCTGCGGGGACCAGTCTAGCAGCCAAGCAGGACTGAGGATCACGTGAGTATATTTCCATTATTGTAGACCAAAACAAGCAGCTAAGCCTCACAGTTAGCCCCACTGCAAGGATACTCTTTTTAAATTCCTGGAGTTCTTTTTAATTACTCCCAGTCTGAAAAAATGTCTTAGGGGGTTATTCACAAAGCTGCCGAAGGATCTAGACGTAGCTTCAGCTGATCCTTCGGCTAGCTTCGGCCCCAGGACCCCTTCGGTTCAGTAGAACGAAGGGCTGCTGTACGGGCTATTCACCATAGCCCGATGTCAAAAACAACAGAGCAGGGAAAGGTTTACTCTGCTGCTGCTGACAGCTGGGCGGAGTCAGCCGTCATCTCACGGCTGGCTCCGGCCACTTGCAGAGACAGATCAGCGTCCCTGGTTACTGATCTGCCATTACTCTCCCGGACGCTCTGGGAGTCTCCCGCTATTAGGTCCCCTTCTAGTGATTGAAAGCAGTAGAGGGCGGGGGCAATAGCCAGCTTGCTATTGGATATTGCAAATTGAAATAGCCAATAGGAATCTAGCTATGCATTCCTGTGCTGATTTTTTTAAATTATTTCTGACGGCAGCAGAACCGCCAGGTTCTCAGTGTAATGACTGATCACCGTCCCTGGTTACCAGGTAACCAGGGGCGCTGTTCTATCATTAGGATGAGAGCTTAGCAGAGCCGGCTTTCATATCACCGCCGACTCTGACAAGCTCTCATTGTAAAGACAGCTGGTCCTGGCCAATAGAAAACAGTCACTGCAAGCTCCGCCCAATCGTTTTCTATTTTTTTTCTACTTTTTTAACTGTTTTCCTTTTCTGCTCGGTACCACAGCGGTACCGAGCCGCTCTGCGGCTATTCGGCTATTCTGTGAATTGCATTTGGCTATTCATATAATGCTATACTGTGATTAGCATTTGGCTATTCACAGAAAACAGCTTAAAAACTCCAAACAATTATATATTTTCTGAAAGTAGAGGTCCTGTAGAATTAAAAAAGCTAGTTGCAATTTTATATGCTGCATGATATTGGTGCAAACGTTTATCAAACCAATATTTTAAGGATAAAATACTCTAAAATTAATGTTAGTGCGCACAAGCAGAATATAATACCTACTTTTTGGGTAAAATATAAAAGAAAGGGTCATGTCAGTTAAACAGATACCAAATATGTCAAGCCTTAAAATTGTGCACGCCTGTGAAATGGCAAAAAACTACAGTACCCAAAATTGCCCATAGGCGACGCTTTAAAAGCCTTTACCACTCATCAATTCAGCATTAACAGTGAGTGATGGTCCTAGAATTATTGCTCTCATCCTGACATTCGTGCTCATATGTAACATGTCTGGCCCAATTGACGTTTTTGCACTTAGGCGCATGGTTCTATACTCATCTTCTTCCTCGGCTACTGCAGAACCTTGCTACTGAAAAATGTCCTCGCTGGTTCCTCACAGCCGCATTCATTCATATGACAAGAACAATGCTCTGCAGGACCACTGGTGGCCATCCTGAGTACGGCCCATCATAGGAAGAAATAGTACCGCACAGGAAATTTCACTGGATCGGGGAAGAAGGTGAGCGTAGGACCAGGTGGTCAGCACTCAATGATGGGGCTGCATCCATTAAAGGACAGCTTGTTCTAAAGGTGCATTATACTTCAAATCAACCCTGAACCAGGACACCTGCAGTATCAGTGGGTGAGGTGTTCACGTACAGGCCTGCCACGTAAGCCATGGCATTACCCAGGAGGAGTATTGCCTGAAAATGTTACTACCTGTTCTTTGTACTTCATTTAATATATCTATAAAATACTTCATGATTACAAAATCAGGGAACACTCCTTCTATGTGCGCTTGTTTCACAAAACTGAATAACTAAAATATTTAAAAAAATGAATTCTGAAAATTGCATTACCGAGGATTTGGAGTCGGAATCAGTATATGGCAGCACCGTTCTTCGCTACAACAGTTCCTTCCTTTGGTAAGAGGCTAGGACACATGATGAAAAAGAACATGATGGGAACAGTAAGAACAAAGACTTCAAAAGGAAATAAAATTATTGCATGCCTTCCCTAATTGTACTAAAGAGATTATTATTGAAATGTTTATATTAATAATCATTTAAAATATTCATAGTCATTGAATGGCAGGGTGTCTTAAAGCAGAACTTTGGGCACAAATGTTATTAGCACTTGCAATGGGGCTACCCATGCACTGCAATGGTTAAATGCTCCTTTCTGTCTAGCCAAAAAAAAAAGTTATATTTGGACGATCCTCTGAGCCGACAGTGCTGCCTCCAGTCTGTCTTCTCCTCTGCTGCAGCGTTGGTATGTCACTCTGCATCCTCATGTCCTATACACAGAACATGATAACTAAGGGACCTTAGAGATGCTCCAGGGGCTAGCCTAAGAGCCGGCTGGCTCAGAGGATCAGGTGAGTATAACTTTTTTTAAACCTAGACACAAATGAGCCATAGGTGTAGCCCCAATGCAAGGGTTAATAAAAAATTGTGCCTGGTGTTCTGCTTTAATCCAGCTAATTTGGGATTTTAGTAGCCTAAAGGTGCCTACAAAAATAACACTTTCTTTGCTCAGTTCCACTGGTTGCGGTATTGTGGGTCTGTTGGCACTTCCTGGCTACGGGTACTTGCAGCAACTAGGAAATTAATAACACACTTCACATTATACGTTATAAAGTTCTAAACATTGCTCGGATTAATTAACAATATACAAGTGAAAAATCATAAACAAAGTGACATAAAATCATTAAGCATTGTACAGCTATTACGATAGCCGCAAATGTGCGGAATCCTCCCCTAAAATCACACTTGGACTATTTTGCGGGAGGTGGACACCACAGAGTTACTATTAACTGTTAACCAGAAACTACAGTTATCCGGCAACTACGAATCTGTGGGTGCCAAATAACTTACACGGCATTAGGCTTTTGGACGCGGGGCTTAGTGACCCTCTGGACGCAGGGCTTCATGACCCGATGGACGCAGGGCTTAGTGACGCGATGGACGCAGGGCTTAGTGACGCCATGGACTCGGGGCTTCGTGACCTGATGGACGCAGGGCTTAGTGACGAGATGGACTCAGGGCTTCGTGATCCGATGGACGCAGGGCTTAGTGACCTGCTGGACTCTGGGATTAGTGGCCCGCTGAACGCAGGGCTTCATGACCCGATAGACGCAGGGCTTCGTGACCCGATGGACGCAGGGCTTAGTGACCCGCTGAACTCTTGGATTCGTGGCGCGCTGGACGCAGGGATTCGTGGCGCGCTGGATGCAGGGCTTTCTGACGCGCTTGACGCAGGGCTTAGTGACCCGCTGGATCAGGGATTAGTGACGCGCTGGACTCAGGGATTAGTGACACGCTGGACGCAGGGCTTAGTGACGCGCTGGACTCAGGGCTTAGTGACGCGCTGGACTCAGGGCCTAGTGACCCGCTGGACTCAGGTCTTAGTGACCCGCTGGAAGCAGGGCTTAGTGACCCGCGGGACTCAGAACTTAGTGAAGCATTGGACGCAGGGCTTAGTGACGCGCTGGACTCAGGGCTTAGTGACGTGCTGGACGCAGGGCTTAGTGATGCACTGGACGCAGGGCTTAGTGATGTGCTGGAAGCAGGGCTTAGTGACGCGCTGGACGCAGGGCTTAGTGATGCGCTGGAAGCAGGGCTTAGTGACGCGCTGGACGCAGGGCTTAGTGACGCGCAGGATGCAGGGCTAAGTAACGCGCTGGACACAAGACCCACCTGAAAGTTACCCTGCAGAGCCCACCATAGATGCGGCACAGCCCATCTGAGACTGTCTGTGGTGGGCTCTGAAGAGGTGTCAGGTGGGCTGGTCAGGGCTGCATCCCTCCTTCTCCCTCCCAGCTCCTCTTACCTCCAAACCACGCTTCCTCTGCCGCCGGACTGGCCGGAAGTGATGTCACTAATGTGATGTCACTTCCGGCAAGTCCGATATCAGACGAGCAGCGTTGCTGATGGGACCCCAGCTTGTCTCGAAGCCGCTGGAGCGGCAATGCTGGGGCCCTGTGCTGCTAGGGCCAGGCCTCCGCCGCCGCTGTGGGGGCCTGGCTGCCTCCTCCTCGCCCTTCACCGTCGGGCAATACTCATGTAAGGGCCCCCGGATGGGCCCCCTGGGCTGCCCGGGCCCCTTACATGAGTATAGGCCATACCCCCCTGATGTCGGCCCTGTTAGTAGTAGTAGTAGTTGTTGTTGAAGTAGTTGTTGTAGTATATAAAAATATAATTACTTAAATGCAATTGTTCATTACTACAACATATCGCGAAAGGATAAGTGGACCTTAAAACAAAGTGTGCTCATCCTTTTAGCTCCCCTTACCTAACCAAACCTAGCCCACCCTCCCCCTGCCCCGGATGCATAAATTCAGTATCTGCTGTTTTCTTACATCAAGCCCCCTGATGTCTTCAGTGTCCTGGCCATGTCTGAGCATTACAGCCCATAGACTTCTATGGGGAGGACTCCTGAGGCTGAAGATCCTCTTGATATGGCTCTATAGAGGTCTATGGTGCTGTTATGCACAGGTGTTTCATGATAAATGTTTGGCAAATGTATTTAAAATTGAGAATCTAAGAGTAGGTATTGGTTTAATGGGTTTTTCATTTAAAATAATTAATGAAGCCTCCACAAATAAATTGTTACATTTTAAAAAATTTATAAAATAAAAAAGCTAAAAAATAGGTAAGTGTTTATGGAAGCAAAACCCTTAAACTAAAATGTTGTCATCTAAATGCGTGAAGAAGCACACATGACGTAATTCAGAAGACTTCCGATTGGCTGACAGTCACCCAGAGCAGCTCCCTGGATGGCATGAGAGCGCTAGCCGCAGCTCCCTCCCGCCCGCACGCACGCACGCCTGGCTTCCTGGACGGCAGAGCGG